TTTTCTGTAAACGTTCAAGTTGTTGTTAATGCTAAATTGGATATAATAGATATAGTGGCGCATTGGCCAGGATCTGCACATGATTCACCATTTTTGATAATTCAAGAATCAAGGCTTTATTAGAAATGGGTACATTTAATGATGGTTTGTTACTTGCAGATTCTGCATATCCAAATGTACCGTATATCATGACTCCGTTACAAAATCCTGTAACACCACAAGAACATCTTTACAATGAAGCACAAATCCGAACACGGTCAATAATTGAAAGATTTTTCGGAATTTGGAAAAAAAAATTTGCAGTCTTATCAATCGGCACACGTTTTCATACTATTGAAAGAACACTTCCCATTATCATAGCGACAGCTGTTTTGCATAATATAATGCAGCAGGAAATTGAGCAGAATGTAATCGAATGTAGATTATACGATAATGCTACTGTGCAAATGGAAGATGAAAATATGAATAATAGGAATATCGATAATGTACGGCATCACATTATAGAATATTTTGAAAGGTAATGAAAATATAAACTAGTCATAACAAATTATTTAGTTTGATATTATATGTCTAGTTATACATTTACGAATTTACAGATTGATTACAGAAGCATAAAAAAAGATTAATGATGAAGATAAAAGGATAATATTATAAATTAAAAAGAAAATTATTTATTTTGGGTTTATTAAAAATATAATGATACGAAAAAGTTAAGTTGGTATACCAGAAACTTTATGTTATTTCTTGATATGAGTTTTATTTATAATGGTGAACTTAGCATACAAATTACATAAGTTATAATTGCACTTTTGTTTTTTTTACTAATTTGTACTCCTTTTCGTACTATATTTGTAAGATAATAAAAAGAATATGCGTTTTTTTAGATGTAAGTTTCCTTAAAATATTTACTTTAAATCAAATCACAATCACTATCACAACATATTGCAACATCTCTATATAATGTAAAGTGAGGAAAACAGACATTTACTAGACGCAAAATACATAAATTGAATCTGCAATCGTTTCATGCTATCTTCTAAATAAAAAAAAGTATTTTGATAATTTCTTTCTTCAGGGTATCCCAGAATACCCTGACAATCTCTCGTGAGTAAATAAAGCGGATTAAACTGAGCAGAAAAGTCCTCTAGCAATTTGCAATTTTTGTTAACGAGTTATTAATTATTTAAAATCGTCGATTTGTCCGGTCAACTGTTCACTAGTCTAGCCTACCTTCAAATGCAAGCGCGTGGTGAGGTGCAGCCACCCATTATCGTGGTTGCTAGGAGTACGGAGAATTGTCAATTACAAGCGGCAATAGCTAAACAATTTTCTGCACTCTTAGCAACCGTAATCGTTGGGCAGTCATATTTCGTCACGCACATTTGGTGGTAGACCGAGCTAATACAGCAATTTTTAATAATTAATAACTGGTTAACTATTGGAAAAATTGCAAAAGAGGACTTTTCTATTCAGTTTAATCCGCTATATTAGAGAAATTGTCAGGGTGTACTGGGA